AAAAACCAAAAAAAAAAAAAAAAAAAAAAAAAAGGTAAAATCACATGACCTAAAATTGACCATCTTCACCTCTTTTGAGTGTCCAGTTCATTAGGGTTGGTTAATTCATAACGTTGCCCCAAACCATCTCCACAGCCCCTGTGTGTGTGAAACACACGTCCTGGCCAATAGTTCCACTCTTGGTTTGCTGAGGGTCTGGCTACCGCTCCTCCACTTCTGTCTCACGGCCCTGACTGCTCTTGGTACCTCATGCAAGCGGAACCACACGGTTTGTCTTTTGGTGGCTGGCTTAGCTTCCTCACTAACAGACTGTTGAGAGCCGATGAACGTGCTTTCCACTCGTGTGCGTTCATGTGGAGGGGGGTGGCAGGAGGAACGAGGACAGCCTGACTAATGACAGTGTGGCTCGGACATCAGAAGAGCACTTTGTATGGGACATATTTAACACAAAGGCACAGGAGTACGGATTCACCTTCTCCTGCTCCCCTCTTTTCTCTGACCAACCCCCCAGACCTCAACTGTCCTGGAAGAGGAATTGCAAAATATTATTGAGAGCCAGCAGTAATTTACATGGTGGCTTCATATCATTTCCAAATCAAGCCAAGCAAAGTTTACTTTATATGAAGATTCCTATCCATCCATCCATCAAACCAGCTAACCATTCAAGAAACATTTATTAAGAGTTCAGTGTGTAGAAGGCACTGTGCTGGGCCCTGGGAATACAGCCATAGAATTTTGTTTCTTGAATTATCTATGGTGCATGGGACCACCAACAAGTTCACTGAGGCACAACATGAAAAGGCAGTAGAGAGGCAGGAGTCAACTAGATATCTGTACCCACTCCCTGGGGTTCATGTCTAATACCCCTTAGAGGACAGAGACCAGGGTTATCTTGCTATTATTAGCAAGATATTGCTAATTATAGCTGTATGGGTAGTTTCTACTACACAGTACACATTGAACAAATAGCGATGAGATCAAGTTAAGGAGGAAATGAATAATTCAGGAGTAGAATCCAGAGGTAGAAGACATTAGACTGTTAACTCTCTGCTTTTCAACATTGTGAGTCTAAGATGCATATTTGTTCATCAGATGAACAGGTTTCCTAGAGGGCAACATTCTTCAAGATGAAAAAGAACCCGTATTTGTTAAATGAAATTGCCCAGATGGCCCACGGCTCCATATTTCTCCTGACGTGTCTGGTCTCCTGTGCCAACTTAAAAGAATATTGGGATGCACTCCAGAGCACACAGCACTTGCATACGTGGGCGCAGTGATTGGACTTGACATTCACTTTCCAGAACTGTTTCTTAAGGCAGTCTTCCGCAGAAAAGACTAACATTTCAAAAAGGCAGCAGCACATTTGCATCCCAGACTATGGCAGAGCAGCTGTGAGTCCTCACTGCTGAGGGGAGGTGGGGGAGAGCAAGAGCACACTCACATATTCACTGCAGGGTTAAAGTGATGGCGCCCTTTACGGGACGGTGAAAACAGCTAAGATGCAAATGGTAATGAGGACAACAGATCACAGCAGAGCAGGCAGCTTCCTGAAGGCAGAATTGTTAAAACATTTGGGACTGAGGTAGCTTAGGATTGCACACACTAGTGTGACAGCTCATCTTGACTGTCAACTTCACAGGACTTAGAGACACACCCTGCAGCAGTCAGCAAGGGGTCTTCCAGAGAGGTTTAACTGGATGTGGCAGCACCACTCCTTGGGCTGGGATCCCTGACTAAATGAAAAGGAGAAAGTGAGTATGCATTAGCTGCCCATCTCTCTGCTTCCTACTGTGGATGTAATGTGACCTCACATTCCTGCTGCTTTCTCTGCCACAGTGGACTGTACCCTCAAACCATGAGTCAAATGACCGTTCGTTCTTAAGTTGCTTTTGCTACAGAGATGAGAAAAATAACCAATATTGTAATGATCAGCTTTCTACCCCCTACCCCCACTTCACCTTTCAAAATGCTACTGGATGAAGAAGCATCAGGGTTGACTGTGAGCAGGCCACTATGCTGAATGTATGAAGGGAGAAAATGCTGGGGGCAGGAGGTGGTGGGGAGAGCCAGGGGCAGGAGGCGGTGGGGAGAGCC